GAGACTGACTGATGACTGACTGACTGACTGACTGACTGACAGACAGACAGACAGACAGACAGACAGACAGACAGACACTGACTGACTGACTGACTGACTGAGACTGAGACTGACTGACAGACAGACAGACGACAGACAGACAGACAGATGACTGACTGACTAACAGACTGACTGACAGACTGACTGCCATCCATCCAGCCAGCCAGTCAATCTCTTTGCCCGAATATGCTGTATGGATGATCTGAAATTGCCCGGCAGTTTTGAAGAAAGGAAGTGTTATTTATAACGTTGAGACTGCGATAATCTGAGCATGGTTTAACAGCATGAACATTATTAAATATTGTTTTTAAAGACATCAGACCGAAAGGACGATAATTTTCAAATAGTCGGCAGCAACGAACGACAAGAAGAGAACACAATGACGGGAACATATAATTGACAACGAGGAAGAGCCAATAGAAATAGAAATAACAATAGAAAGAGAGAACAAGGTTATCTAAAAATCATATGGAAACATATACTTTAAAAAAGTGAACAAGGTTGTTTGACATAAATAAGATAGCAGGCCTATTAGAACAGTAACAATGGGAATAAAAAGAGTAAATATTTAAACGTCTTAAAATTGAATCCCACAATCTTAGTGGTAAACAGGAGAATGTCTCAATCCTATGCAAAGTTACTGCCAAGTAGCTGTCAAAATCTAGTGCACACTGACAAAAATGTTGCTCCACAAGTCCTTTAATGGTAATCAAATCACAATCCCAGATGTCCTACAATGCACAATTAAGCGTTAACTTGCACGAACAATCAGCGCAACTGCAAATATGTCATGCATCTACAACTCGAAACGTTTGAGAACCTAAGGGCTAAGGTATTCCGTGATTGTATGGGAAGATGGTTAAGTGACGGCTCCGTAATCGTGGAAAAAGGACACATTCCGCGCAGGATGGTTACGTCACAACGGGGAAAGCAAATCCACGGTTGGGCAAGGAAATGATTGCAACAGAGAATTTGATGATAAAAATGATTAGGTACACATGAACAAATATATCAAACAAACAAAGTATACATGAATAACTACTAAACAGAAAGAACAAATGGATAACTAGTAAATCTGATTCATAGATAGAAGAATCAAATAATCAAATAATCTAAGGCCAGCGTGACATATATATGGTACAGAAGGCGGATCATAATATGTTTAATTTGGAGAGAGACTCGGGGTGGGGGTGGGGGTGGGGATGGATGCTCGAACCGACATAGCTTTCACTACGAGATGACAACATACATAAGTGGATAATCCAATACATGCATAGATGAGTCAGATGTCGCCATGAATACACAAACATCACAATGAGATGAAGGCATGTGTATGTGGACAGAAGAAACAAAAACAAACACATGTATATATAGTCAGATATTGCAATGTAGATACGACCGTCACAGCAAGGCGTCGACATGCATACAATTTTGGATAAACAAACATTCTCTGCATGGAAATTCAGTCAGACAACCACATTTAGATGGTTATATTCATAATCCGATATTCAAACCTTTCAGATTATAAACCAAATAAAGCGACACAAAAATAGATATCACAACACACACCACACACACCACACACACACACACACACACCACACACACACACACACACACACACACACACACACACAACACACACACATATACATATACATTTTTATGATAATCAGCATCATGTTCAGTCAGATAACCCACGAACAGACCAACGGAGAACATAAAAAGACCCCCACCCCCCACCCCCATCAAGGCCGTGTTCTACTTGGCTGCGGTAACCTAGTCGACCTAAACATACACTGTCCTTCAGAAGTCAGCGTTTCTGCGACCGTCACTTGTAATTCTGAAATCGTAGTAACAGTGACGATTATGGTCACTTCCTGAACTGAAGGTAAGGGAAACTGCGGGTTAGTTTTTGTTGAAAAGGACAAGAGAGGGGATTGGGAGCGCGAGAGAGGGAGAGGGAGAGGGAGAGGGAGAGGGAGAGGGAGAAGGGGAAGAGGGAGGGGAGAGGGAGA